CACATATGGATAAGACACATAATTATTGCCAGCCAACAATGATGAATATGAGCAGGGAAGCGAATAACCCTGTCATTGTCAGAGGAAATAAAACTACAAGCCCAGTGAGTGATTCATTTTTGTACAGGCGTCTTTGTAGCTCCATGAAATTTTTATTTTTTGTCTTTTTGCTTTGTCTACTTATATAAATATTCGTCGTATGTATCTTATGCTCAGTATTTGTTGATTTTGTTTCGACCTTTTCAAATACCTGTCACAATTGTCAACTGAACCATTGTTTGATGACACTAGACAAATCTACATCAGGAGCATGGAATCCTGGGTGGTTGTGCTTTTTAAGGTTATGTTTGTCTGTTAATGTTGATGTATCCTTCTATTAAACTACCTGAAAGTGTTTGACTGAGATTATTCATTCAAGGCAATATAATACATTATTTTCGATACTCAGTATTCATCTTTGATACATTTTATTCTCGCAAGTATGTTTTTAGTCTGGCTTATACACTATTTATGCGGATTCCACGTTTTCTGGAACTGATCTCTACAGATAATTATTTTATTCTCTACTCTCGTAATTCTGCAAATAAATAAGGTGGTTCACTTATTGTAGGTGCGTCTTCATAGCGTCGGTGGCATAGCGGTTAGGACACTCGCCGACCATGCACATGGTCCGGGTTCGATCCCCGGCCAACGCACTCCTTTACCTCACTAAGCCAGAAATAATGCTGGTGAAGAGGAAAGGTTGGTTTTGCATGAGGCTAGCTACCACATCCTGTAAAAATAAAACACCACTGCCACAGAAACTTCAAGCCACTAGCTTGAAGCCCTATGTTCCACTGGGGAACGTGAAGGAAAAAGTATGAGTAGTTAGAAACTACTCACTCTAATCACCACTTGATGGCCAGATAGAATTTATCGAAACACTGAAGAGACAAGTGCAGTCATGGATACATGTTACACGTGTTTGCCAATTCAATCCTCTAAGGGTCAACGGAAGTGCATGTTACAAGATAGAGCAAGACATCCTTCTGTTGCTGTTGGTATTTGACAGTGTTACGACCTCTTGAAGTTCTGACTACCATAACTTCCGTCAGACTGGAAAACTTAGTGGATACAGAGCACTAGATTGATAAGAACTCAGTTCCACACAAGGCGTCAACTAAGTTCTGCAGATTTGTAAGCCTTCGACTGCTAAGCACTTCTGAAGCAGTTGCCACAAAACATTCCAACCCAATTTGTGATCAGAAAATGTTTGTCCAGTCGGTCTCCCTCCTGTGGACCTTCACTCCCTAACTAGAATAGTTTCCTCTCCTGGTGATAACTGTTGTTAATATCTTTATCTTTAATGTCACCTGTATCTTTTTATCATCATCATCATCATTTCGTGGTGTGGTGAGAGCAGGCTGCTAGCCAATTGGTAGACATCAATTTACGTCAATGCCTAGGACACTAATATCGGCCGTGAGAAAATATGAACAAGGCTGATTCAACAATCAATCACAGCAGACTTAACGTGGGCAAACAAGATTCGCAGATATATGGATTAAATTTCCGAGAAACCAGAAACAATCAATCAGAAGACTGTGTTTGTCTGCTTGAATAAGCTAAAATAATGTACATGATAAATATATACATAAAACGTGCTGATTTCCGTAATAAAACGATCTGTTTCCGGCCCTTGTCTTCAGTTTTTACAGAGATATTACAATTCTACCTTTCGATCATGGCTCCGAAATTTATTATCAAACCGAAAACTGCATTACTTAGCCACTCTACCAGACAGTTACTTTTCCCCTACATCCCTACAAATATACACATTCACAATGATTGACGCTTGTGTAAACTTATTCTTGTTATAATAATTACAATCAACTCGATTATTATGCACTGATGCATATGCTTGAACTTTAACTCCATCAGTATCGCTATTCACAAGGTAATTCCCAATTCGCCATTTAAACAACTCGTGGTGAAATTCCAACAGTTTCCTAAGGTGGTCGAGATTATTCAGATCACAAAGTGTGATCTGCTTGATGCCATAAATAGCAGTCAACCTGAAAATTTCGAATTCAGTTCAATCTATTACCAATTCGTCTAGGTAGCTAGCTGGAATTCGGATGGTTTTAACTGACTTGGTTCTGATCTGAGTAGGATACATCACTGACGACCTCGACACTGGACAGGCGAGACTTTGTTCCGTGTTTAGATCACCTCGATCTGAATAATAATCACCACCACTGATTGTTGCCAGTGGTGTCCAACTACTCATGTCAATCAATGAATCAATCAATAGTAAGTAGCGGCATGCATAAATTCGAACTTTATTTCTACTGACCGAATTGGCATTAAATGTTTGGGATTAATAAGTTCACTATCCAATTGTAAAGCCTAGTGAGAAGTCACTGCGCTCTCAAATTTAGTGAGTTATCAATTCTCTGACTTCAGTCTATTAGGTACGCCACTGATGAGCTCGGTGCCAAACGAACGAAAAAGTTGTCCGGCGTTTAGATCAATTCTATCTGGCTAGTAGGCACTACTGATTAACGTCACTGATTCCCGACTACTCATATCAATCCACAGTATGCACCATTATGCCCTTCTCATTAGCTTTCTTCATTGTCATCTATGGGATCAAGCTGACCGAATATTGTGATGTTAATATTAGGGGGTTTCCATTGGAAACACCGTGAGTTTTCACCTGGAGCTGGTGAATTCGCAAATGTAACTGGATCAACTGTGGCTTCGCTGGACGTAGTCTCTCTATTCGCCAATGTCACCTTAACGGAAACTGTATACTACCTATATGAGTCTATTGACTCGAACAATCTAAATTTTGACATATCCACTGAGCATATCACACAAATAACACTAAGACGCACCCACCAAATGTTCAGTTTTTATTCAATAGTCAAATGCACGGCCAGAAGGATAAAGTGGCGATGGATTCTCTACTTGGTCCATTGCTTTATGGCGTACCTTGAGGCATATATCCTCCTACCAGAAATCAAACAGTTCGAAGTGTGCAATCGGTATATAGATGATATATTCCTCATCACCCATGAAAATACTGACCTCAACAAAATCCTGTAAATCTTCAGAAACTCTCACTAATCAGTCGAACTGAAAATTGAAGCGGAATCAAAAAGTAAATTACCCTTCCTAGATGTCCAACTTACAAGACGATCAGATGGAAGCCTACAAAGATCAATTTACCGGAAGCCAAAATGGAATGGACAGCTGACAAACTATTACAATTTTGTTCCGATGAACAAAAAAGAAATCTCATCGCATCATCTTGTGCACAGTAAACAAGCACTATGATACATACCTAGATGTTACCTTCCTTCATCCAATACTCTTAAGGCGAGATTCATTGAAATTAAACACAAAATTAAAATATGTTAAACAGGCATTACTACCCAGTAATTAATCGCCAGAATACATTGAAATGTTAGTGAGATGTGATAAGGGGAAAATTAAAGACTGAGTGACCGGAAGATGAAGTCCAGAGCTCCTATGTTGCTGCCGTAAAGTGAAAGGATAACAAAGAATTTCATCGTCTCCTTAAAGAAACTGAAATTAGAGCAGCTTTATATTCACTAATTATCTAAAGACGAAGCTGCATTAATCGTCAGAAGGGCGAAATCATTCAGCCTATAAAATGTCACATAGTCATCTTGTGGTGAGGTATAAAGGCTGAAGCAGTCTAACGGAGTCAGCCAGAAAATCTGAGCACAAAAGAACCACTAATTATAGACTGAGAGATCCTCAAAAAATACATCATCAGGAAAAATCACGGTTTCCCTAATTCGTGGGCTGACGCTCGGTATGATAGGATAAAGCATAAGCTCTGAAATCTAATATAATCAGTACAAAATAGATCGCGGAGGCTTTATTTAATCTACACCAAACACACACACACACAACTGCGATAACTGGAAAGCCATTAAAGGTATTTAGAAAATTCTGTTGTCAATAAACCTGTCCTCATAAATGGAAATAATGTTTGTAGGCTTAGAAACGCTGAATGATTCTGAGGAATGTCAAAAATATTTTCGATGGGGTCGTGTCACTGAATTCATCTGTCTCATTCGACTGCTCTACTTTGGATGGTCCGGTGAGATACAGAAGCTCTACATCTTGATTGAACTTTAACGCATATATATCGTATGACTTCCTCAGTGGTCCAGTTAAAGTTGGAAGGATGCCTCGAAACTCATTCCTCTGCAGCAGTTATTCCCTTACTTTTAGTCTTATTCTGATGTGTAGAATACTGTGCAGCATCCTTATGCTCCGATAAACACTTACTCAATTAGCTTCCTATTCAGAACGAGGTGAGATAATTACAGAAAGAAACAACACCTACATTCTTATCAGCAGTTTATGGACATCGATTTCGAATATTCTGTCGGACAAGAATTCTCAAATTGAGTTGTATTTAAGGAATTGTATGAATGCAATTATGCATTCACTGACTCAACTTCAGTTAATTTGTGAATAGGTCAGTTATCCAAAGAAATATTAACTTGAATCACATCCCTCTGGTCTTTTGTCAAAGCAGTTCAATCAAAACAGTCACAGGAAGCCATGGTTTTTAATGGGATTATACCTACAATTTCGTTAGATAATCAAACCATCAGCATGTACTCGAGAAAGGAAATATGACTTGCGAAACCAGCCTCACTGTCATGCACGCATACATTAACTTGAGTCAGTTTGACTCTATTATTCAGACATATTGATATCCTGTGATTCCAGTATGATAGTGCTTTCAATCCTGATTAATAACTTGTTATTTACCTAGTGAGCGTGTTGTCTCTACCCTTTCAAAATGGCCTATGCAATGTGTATTAGTGACTGCATACTTTACAACTTCTCACAAAGTTGCACTCATCTTTGTCTTAAACATCACCATATCACAAATTTCTTGAATGAACACACACGGAGTGAAGTATTCCAGCTGAATGATACAAATCTTATTTGAACTACTTCACTGATGTGAGTGAAGGTGACGATTTCTGAGATTTGACACTCATTCCGAGATTACGCTCAAGCCCACAGACGACGAAAATTATGTTAACGCTATTGGAAACAATATGAATACAAATAACTATTTATTTTACTCAAAAGTTAAACAAGGTTTTCTTCCAATGTTTAGGCATTCTGGTATTGTTCTCTGAATATTTTTGAAACCACATACACTGCAGTTCTTGGATATCCAAAATGATATGACAAGACGCAGTCGACGACCTGTTATTAAGAGAAATATCTATGATAATTAATGGATATTGACATAGAGAAAGCTAATAATTGGCAGATTGAAAGCGGTGTTATTCGACGATCTGCGTGTCTGTGAGTTCAAATAACCTATGTAAAATATTATGCATAAAGTGCGTAACTTCACAAACGGTAAAATGCTTTTCGTGACTAAATGTTCTATTGACATAAAAGAATTAGTGTTGAAATGTATTCTACCTGCATAGCTCGTAGGTGGAATGCTCTACAATCTTCACGACGGGCAATGAGGAAACAGGCAAAAATGGACTCACACAAAAAAATTGGAGGATCTGGACTTCGCCGATGATATATGTCTGATTTCACACAAACTGGAAGATATGCAAGTGAAAAGCAACAAGCTGGCAGAAGAAGAATCCAGAGAAGATAGGACTTCAAGTGAACATAGATAAAACAGAGGTGATGAAGGTTCTTGGCCAACACCAACAGCAACAACAACAACAGACGACAGTCAGCCAGCATAAATGGGAGGAACCTGAAAGAAACAACCTCCTTCACCTACCTACCTACCTGGGAGGCATCGTTTCAACCACAGGCGGAACTGACGAGGATATCAAAGCAAGAATCGGAAAAGCAAGACAGGCTTTCATTACTCTTAAGTCTGTGTGGAGGTTGACAGCACTTAGCATCAAAAATAACATCCGGATTTTCAACTCCAATGTGATGTCAGTGGTACTCAGTCAGGGTACTTAATAATAATAAATAATAATTTTTCCTTCACGTTCCCAGTGGAACATAGGGCTCCAAACTAGTGGCTTGAAGTTTCTGTAGCAGTGTTTAATTTTTACAGGATGTGGTTGCTAGCCTCATGCCCAACCTTTCCTCTTCACCAGCATTATTTCTGGCTCAGTGAGGTAAAGGAGTGCGCCGGCCGGGGGTCGAACCCCGGACCATGTGGATGGTCGGCGAGCTTCCTAACCGCTATACCACCGACGCATGTCAGGATACTTAGATGTACGAAAAAGTGTGTGAACAAGAATGTATATAAGTGTACAGTACAAAAGTATATAACAAAATGACTAGTACACATGAACCAATAACATAAGGTCTTACCATAATTCGTAGCAACGTCACGTAATAAAAATGTCATACATTGTTTAATAAATTACTGGAAAAACAAAGGCATAATATCAGTTATAATTGAAGATCGCTCCACCATATACAAATAGGATAATATAACAGTGCCGAAAACAAAAGAAACATCAACTGGGCACACATCAATTTCGGCACAATGTAAATATCTTCAATGTCACAGTGTCTCGATCTGAATATTGCACTTAAGAGAAATTCCATCGGTCCTTCTTTGTCAAAATCTTCAGCACTACTCGTCCGTGTGCTTTCAGTGGCTTGTAAACCTTCAGTTGAATTTGGTGAATCTGGGGATGTTTTAATTTCTGAACCATTGGTTGACGATGATTCTACTGACGTTTCCGATGAAGCATCATTGGCGTGCTTTGATGTCTATGGAAGAAAAAGCAGGAGTGTCTTATTATTGTAGACAATATTTCATTATAATTACATGAGATATGCGGAGACGAATGGTAAGGAAAGGTGGTCGCACCTAACTATGTCAGAAACACCATATGGATGGCGTCCAACAGTATCTCGTCGTCTAAGTCAACTTTTTCTATGCAGTGTTTCGGCACCACAAATTCAATATATATATATATATATATATATATATATATATATATATATATATATATATCGCTGTAATATTATTTCATAGTCCGTCTGCGAGCCTACTTAGCCACCCCATCAAATCAGAATCACATCACCAAATCATAAACATCGAAAAGTAGCTGGCTATCTCACTTACTGACTGAACAACTGACGCACCGATCAACCAATGAAGAACAATCCATAAGACTGAGTTCAGCGGTCGGTTTTAGCTGTTATTAACCGTAAGCACTGAACAATAGCTGTTCTTCACAAGTGATGGTCCATTTCATTCAGTGATCACACGATACACCAAAACTGCCGATTGCACAGAATAAAATACATGAGGCATAAAAGGGATACGGTATCACTGAGGTCATTAGTAGGTATTTTTGTCACAACTGGAAGGAATTCTTTCGCTGTAAGTAAACTGTAGTCTCTGTGTAGTTGTCAGAATATATATTCATGAATATAATCACATATCAAGTTGGCGTTAGCCAATTAAATCGGAAATACTTCATCATGTAAACGGATACGCAGACTTTATTGAGGCTAGACAATACTTACCACGAATTTTCATCGATGATCCTGCTTGTTCAGCAAAACTGGTCAGCGACTGCATCGAGCAGAGATCGTAACAAATACTGATACAATTATTTAAGCTCAATCATTCTGTTGCATCTGGACCAACAGGACGAGAGTTGCAGTTATTTGTTAGAGTCAGTTCGCTCGGGAAATATAGACTCACAAAGATAAATGAAAACAAATATTACGACATTTCGGATGGGTAAGGAATATACTACCTACGACAGGAGAATAGATGACATTCAATGTATGCAGAAGTGAATCAAATCCGGAGACACATTTCACGTACATTCACTCAGATTGGAACACAAGTTTGTCCGACTTATCTCCACTAACAAACATGAATAGATTTGCAGTAACCAACCTATTTTGAAAGACACCCCAGATCGGCGATAAAATGTCTATTCCTAACTGCCCACTACTGATTCAAAATGCCTACTTGTCTGAGTAATTAATCAAGCGCACTTCCTGGAGAAGTCATGTAATTACTGCTCCTAGCCACTAATATCCGAATTTGTGCAAGCGAAAAAATGAACACCAATGCGTGGACTAATCTCAGAGAATCTGGTATTATCACCGCTCACTGCCATCTGAACATTCCTATCTGTCTTCCTTAATAGGCTCATTCGACTCATTCGATGAAAATGTAAATGCATGCGCCAGAGAAGTAAACCAGGGTCGAATAGACTACTGGCTCACTAGACTATAAATGTTCATTAAAACATGAAAAATTCAGAAAGATGGCCAACTAAAGCTGTACACGTGGTCAGTGAAACACAATCATGGGAACAGTGTTTCTGACGCTGGCCCACTACATTCTGGATATGACTTCGAGTGAAAGACCCAGGGGTTGACGCGATAGCAACCACCTGCTTTCGTCTGGGCGTCCGGAGAGTATCCCAGTCTGTGAGGTTTTGTTTGCAGAATCTCTCGGTGGAGGTTTGTGTTTCCTTAATAATAATACAGATAATATTAATCATAATAATAATAATAATAATAATAATAATAATAATGGTGATAACAGCTTCTACAACAACAACAACAACAAGAACAACATCAACTATTATTATTTTTATTATTAACGTCACTGACATACACACATGTCACTGAATACTTACGGGAGGTTTTGAATAAAATGGTCGCCTAACTCGGAAACAAATTGGTGGCAGCGGTGGTTTTCGCGGAGCGTGAGGTTGAGGTGTAGGAAGGCGTCGAGTTGCAGCAGGTGATTTTGGTGTTGATTGCGGCACCTTGTAAATATCTTGTAAGAAAATGTCATAGTTCCTACATCTGAATTTTGGACTTAAGAGAATTTCAATCTGTCCTTCTTTGTCAAAAACTTCAGCACTACTCGTCCGTGTTTTCAGTGGCTTGTAAACCTTCAGTTGAATTTGGTGAATCTGGGGATGTTTTAATTTCTGAACCATTGGTTGACGATGATTCTACTGACGTTTCCGATGAAGCATCATTGGCGTGCTTTGATGTCTATGGAAGAAAAAGCAGGAGTGTCTTATTATTGTAGACAATATTTCATTATAATTACATGAGATATGCGGAGACGAATGGTAAGGAAAGGTGGTCGCACCTAACTATGTCAGAAAACAATAAAAATAATTTTTTTGTATTTCCCAATGTATGAAAAACTATACGAAATTGTTTTTACTGACGTTTCGCTATTTAATTCTAATCGTTTCTCAAAGTATTGTTAAACCGGAATTTACAAAATCTCAGCATATATATAACAAAGAGTTAGAGTGTGAGAATATATTTCGCAATCTACACTTAGTTTTGTTATCTTTACCAATTGACCAATTTGATAATCGAAAATGACATCAGACTAACAAACCATGATCAAGTTAGTAAACTTTGTTTCAATATCATAACAGATGTACTATTACCTTTCATATTTGGTTTAGTGATCTTCATTGTTATTTTGACTTTCAATATGCCTATCTAAATTGACTTAAGTCTACTTTCTCACCCCCTAACTCTTTGTTATATATATGCTGAGATTTTGTAAATTCCAGTCTTGTCACTGAATTCATCTGTCTATCTGTCTCATTCGACTGCTCTACTTTGGATGGTCCGGTGAGATACAGAAGCTCTACATCTTCATTGAACCTTAATGCATATATATCGTATGACTTCCTCAGTGGTCCAGTTAAAGTTGGAAGGATGCCTCGAAACTCATTCCTCTGCAGCAGTTATTCCCTTACTTTTAGTCTTATTCTGATGTGTAGAATACTGTGCAGCATCCTTATGCTCCGATAAACACTTACTCAATTAGCTTCCTATTCAGAACGAGGTGAGATAATTACAGAAAGAAACAACACCTACATTCTTATCAGCAGTTTATGGACATCAATTTCGAATATTCTGTTGGACAAGAATTCTCAAATTGAGTTGTATTTAAGGAATTGTATGAATGCAATTATGCATTCACTGACTCAACTTCAGTTAATTTGTGAATAGGTCAGTTATCCAAAGAAATATTAACTTGAATCACATCCCTATGGTCTTTTGTCAAAGCAGTTCAATCAAAATAGTCACAGGAAACTGTGAGAATGGAGCCAACAGAACAGAACACTTTGTGTATTCAGATACAAAACCTTTGACTGAAACGAGGGGATATCTGCAAATGCATAGTTATCATGACCATCCACTGTAAACACTTTTTTTTCCCACTGTTCAAATGTTAGTCTGAGAAAATCTCGTTGCTCCCACGTCATCGTACTGCATCTTTTCTCACCTGAAAGATGGCCTACCGAAGTTATTGACAGAATACACATTACGACGGTCATTATCTAGTCTGGTCTCGTTCTCTCAACAACCTCTACTCTAAGAAAATTCCTGTCCATTCAAAATTCGGCCTACATTGAGCTAAACACTCGCATTTGGTATGAGTTTCAAGCCTGATTGGTATATACTTTGTGCTAGAAGTTTTCTTAAAACTAACATTCTCTGGAACAGAGACACAACTTTGGTTACAGTTGCACAATCGACAGTGGGTGAGGAATATAAGGCAGAGTCGTTTCAGGAACTGGTGAAAGTAGAACTGCATGCTTCGGATAATCTGACCATATATTTACTCTTTAATTCAATTCACAGGAAAAATGAAACGGTTAGTAAAAAACAAAAGAATGAGGGATGTAAGACTAAGGAAGACAGTAACTGACATTACTCTTGGCAAGATAACCAAACAGATTCTAGAACATATTATTTTCGTGCACACAAGGATGGTTGAATTTTACAGATCACCATAGCTTCTGAGTATTTTAGTATGCACTACTGTCGACTTTAATATATAAAATTGAAAGTTGTTTTGATACAGATCTTGTGGTTCACATCAGTTCTCCAATGACACATTCCTAGGACCACTCTACAAATCTCTTCGATCCTTTAAATTGCAAGCGAGTCTTTCACCTTTATTCCTCCTACAAAATCTCACATTGATAATTCCCATGCCCAGTTGTGCATACTAATTGAACTTCGGGTTTTCTGATATTTTTTTATTTGCCATATCAAGTTTACCAGTTTCCGTGCCTCTATCATTTACAACATAAAGAGATATAGTCTGTCTGTCTCTGTCTGTTTTCGACATAGAACTTTGCACAAATGTGCGGGAGTTCAAGTCGCCACATTCCGTGTAGCACGCGAAGCAAGAGATACAGTAGACAAAATTACTCGAATCACATTCTAACGACCACCGATTAGACTGACTTTCAGTAGGTCCTGATAAGCATGCGACAGATTTGCCATCCATCGAACCTTCAGTACATGAAAAAGAAACATTCTCACTCGGATTCAACCTTTCTACCTCACCAACCAATATTTCTGACTTAGCTATTGGCTCCCAGTTTGAAGATAACCATAATCAACGGAGTCCTCTACTTCTTACATCGGCAGAAAACCAAAGCTTGATAAAGGCCAAATTAGTTGACATAGCCCATCAAGTCCGTAATTCGTGACGGAAACAAAAAGCATTGTGACTCTAAAGATCTGCAGAACTACATTGTTGATCTGACATAATTATACTAAGAACTGACAAAGCATCAGCAGTAGTTATAATGCATAAAAATGAAATTTCATCCATTATAGGTAGTAAAAGTAAATTCATAGTGGACGTCCCATCTGATAGTATTCGAAAATTAGGAGAAAGGGTAACATCTAATATAACAAGACTTTGTCACATGAATATTATTGAAACAAGGAATTCAGTTCTCTAAGACATATGGGATCTAACTTTCCAAACCCTTTCGGAATACATAAGATCCACAAAATTAACAACCGTCACACCATACAATGACAATCTGACAGGTAATTTGGTCGGTATGGTGCTATTTTATGAGTGCTATGTTGACGATAAGCATAAAAGTAAGACATGTCTACTGGACAGAATTAACTATCCACGAAATCAAACCAGCCTTACATGTGACGAAGATGCAATCAACTCAGATTTTTAGATATGCCTTTTAGTAAAAGAGAGCATGGATGTTGGGGAAACATACATTCGAGTGACGTTGAAAACAGTTGGATTCTGAAACCTCAGTAAATGCAAATGACAGGCTACCAGTGTCGTTTGTGGCACAACACTATCGATATAGACCATTAGATCGACAGCAAAACAACTTTTGAGAACATATGTGGTACGTACAGTGACTATGGTCATTTGTAAAATCAAGTCCTCCTTATGTATGCAAAAACAATATGTTGTAAACCTCTACCAAACTAGGTTATCCTTATCTGATTACCTTGTCTCTTTATTCTTTTGTTTATTCTTGTTCAACCTTTCATTTTTTTCATACAAATTGAAAAATATTTGTTCGAAGTGTATCGCGCAAATACCTTAGGCTTTCCAGGTCAACTCCGTCTTTTAATAACGCTTTGCAGACTTATTAAATGGGCGGTGTTTTCACAATGCATATTCTAGACACCCGCTGTAACAATGTATTTCACCTTTTACATGAGCTGGTTTCCCTGGTCTTGTTTAGCCTTTTGAATGTGTGCACAACCGTTAGGAGCTCAAAAACCATCCAAAACCATTATGGGGTTCTGTCTCACGGTTGAATTCATCCTCCTACGATAGAGAAGGACGATACAAGAAGAATAATGCATTGAGCACGACGAAAACAATAGAAATATGACCCCGCCCAACTAGAACCCGATAACTGTATCTACAAAAACACAAGCGCGAGTGTGTGAAGAAGAGATATATTAGTATATAACACAGGCTAAGTATATCACAAGTCGATAGGAGAGCATTTCAAGCCAGCGTGTATAAATATAAATGCGTGAATCACACCATTTGGAATTGCATATTCGTTTATCATACACACGTGTGTATATGGGACATATGGAATGCAGTACATGAGGCCTATGATGCCTCAATTATTGTGTTCACTGAGTTTTCAAAATCAATTTATAATACAAATCCAAGAGTCATAATCGACATTACTCCAGCGCAGAATACATAATAACCTGCTTTAAAACTTTCGTCTGGCTTGTTTCACGAATTTCTCCAGCCAGGAACATTTCATCGACGACACTATAAACTTTGTAGAAGTTGAAGACAAGATCTAGTTCACAAACATTGTGAAATAGCTCATTCAAAACCTCAACAAAGTTATGAATAGCTTCTAGGTACGCAAGACTATTATCCATGAGGTCTATACACATGCAAAAATACAATCCAGCATAACGTCGATAAACAATTTTAAAGTTGCGAAACTCAACAAAGTTTGTATGCTTGGCGTCTCTCACAGTAACTAGAGCATGGACTTCTTCTATTAATTTTTGCTTTTCTTCATCGTCGAAATTCATGTACCATTTCGCCAGTCTAGTCTTACCCGCACGATTTTGTATAAGTATAAACCTAATCATACTACGCAACCTTGACCTTGAGAGCAAATATGCCTCGCAAATGCACACACTAGTAGATCACTACAACAACCCTCTTTCTACTAAGATATAATTGGTTACTACCCTCATAGTGACGCTGACCTGGTGTGGTGACTACGGGAAATACATTAGTTGACTTTTCAATATATGATAACTCGCACTTGAGGATTTTCAACAGTTAATTTACAGTGACTCAATGAAGATTCAGATAATAAGCATGGTGGGTTCTAGTTACTTTCTATTTATTTTTTTATTTTTGATTACAGCTTTATTCTACACTGTATTTTTGGTACAAGTATGAAACTTTCAGCATGTGATATCGGTAGCCCAAATTTTGCAGACCGACCATAGATATCAGATGTGCGTTGGTGAAGGATCGAACCTCGGACCATGTGCATGGTCGGCGAGAGTCCTAACCACTGTGCCATTGACGCACACCTATGTCAATCCTTACAATATGTATCTCTGCAGAGATCTAACTTTTCTTTTAAATCGTTTACCGATGGAGACGCTACTACTTAATCAGGCAAAGAGTTCCAATCGTTGATCACTCTGTGATTGAATGCAAATTCTACACGTATTTTATTCGTCCTCGGTCTGAGCACCTGTCTTTCGTAACGTTATAAATGTATCCTAGAGAGAGGGAGAGAGAGAAAAGATTAGGAAGGTAAATCTTTAAATCACCCTTTAATATACGGTAAGCCAAAATTAAGTCTCCCTTGCTTCTGTATGGTAATGGGAAGAGATTTAGATGCTCCATCCTCTTGTCATAAGGTAGGTGTGGGATACCACTAACTAATTTGATTCCCACACTCTGTAATCTTTCGAGGATATGTGCTTCCCTCTTGAAGTATGAATCCACCGCTTGTATGCAGTGTTGTATGTTGCATAGGGTACTTGGAACTTAAGTTCGTTTAATAATTTGAAGTGCTCATAGCTTTTGAAAAGCTTTAGTTGAGGCTGCATTGCAATTTGCGATTGTTTGCAAATCATGGCTTTCAAAGTGCTTTTGTCTCTTAACACCTGATA